GGCGCCGGAGGGGGGAGCGGCGCGCGCGCGGGGCGGGCGCCTACATGCGGATGCCCGTGGCGTGGCGGCCCCCGAGCACCATGGCGGGCCCGGGGGCCGCGGCCGCCGGCGCCTGCGCCGCGGGAGGACCGCGCGCGCGCGCGCGGTCGCCCGCGTACCCGGCGTTGCGGTCCCCGATGGCCTCGCTTTCCGCGAGGTCATCGAGGACCGCACGCTGGAGCGCGGCGATGCGGCCGCCGCCGCCGGGCGCGACGGCGGCGCCCGGCGGCGGCGGAATCGCCGGCGGCGTGAGCGCGGCGACGGCGGCGGCGAGCGCGCCGAGGTCGGCGCGGAGGTCCGCGCGGATGCGCGCGAGCGCGACGAGGAGCGTCGCGAGGAGGGCGACGTTGAGCGTGATGGAGACGGCCGCGGTGATGATGAGCGCGCTCATGGTTTCAAGCGAGTAGCTGTTTTCACGGCGAGGCAAACAGCGAGTGCGCGCGCACAGCACCTCGAGCTGCACCAGAGGCCGACGGCGCGATGGAACAGCAGGCCGACGAGGTTGCTCGTGCGGTTGCTCTTCTCGCTGTGGCGCGCAGCCAGAAGGCGGCGGACGACGCCGAGAAGGCGTGCCTCAAGGCGGAGCGGGACGCGGAGCGCCTCGAGAACGCGAAGCTGCGCGCGGAGCTCGCGGCGCTGAAGGCCGTCCACGCCGAGCGCGACCGCGTCGCCGCCGCGGTGCGCGACGCGAAGGACCTCCGCGCGGCGGCGCGCCGCGACAAGGAGAACGCGGCGCCGCCGAAGGCCGCGCCGGCCGACGCCGCGGCGCGCGCGGACCTCGAGCTCGCGGCGCCCGGGCCGCTGACGCGGACGTCGGCGCGCGTGGCGGCGGCGCGCGAGGCGGCGCCCGCCGAGCCCGAGGCGGCCGCGGAGCCCGAGGCCGCCGCGGCGGAGCTCGCGGAGCCCGAGGCCGCCGCGGCGGAGCTCGCGGCCGCGGCGGAGCTCGCGGCGGCCAAGCGCGAGGCCGCCGCGGCGGCGCTCGCGGCGGCCCCGGAGCCCGCGGCGGCCGAGGTCGACGGCGGCTACGAGTCCCGCGGGAACTCGA